GCAATTTATTGGAGGATCATTTAGTGATCCTCCCACACGTATATAGAGATCAAATGAAATGAGATGATTCCAGTTATAGTTGCTTAATGCCTTTTTCTATAACTGATGTTTTGCCCTTCCTGATCTTTCTTCATTGGGTTTCTGTAAATAATATTCCCGAGTTTCACTCATGCCTGGATGCCAATCTTTACAGAACAAGAAAGAAATTTAAACTGCACGTGATTAAAACTGACGGAAAGGCATCGCCTTGGCCCATTTATTTTGTCCCCCCCCCCCTAATGCTCATTAGTTAATGGTTTAATAGAGGCGATGGTTTATATAAACAAGATGAAGTTTCAAATGAGTTTCAACTTTGCCCGAAACTTTTTTATTTGGGGGTAATTTCTATTTGTAATATCAGTTTAATATATTAAGGAAATCTGTTAAAATTCTGAACAGATGATCATCTGAAGATTCAGCTATAGAAATTTGAACGATTGGTCCAGCCAATTAATCTATGATGTTAGAGACTTGCGTTGATAATGTAATTTTTTTTTAATACTCACTCTACTCTATAATATAAGATTTAGTTGACTAATTTATAGAGATTAAAGAAATTACTAAATTATTTAATTATAGTATATGTTACATGATTTCTTTAAAATTTTTACGTGAATTATTAGATATCACCTCCAGTTCTTAATATAAGATCTTATTTAACTTTTATTTTGGTTCTAAATATAAGACCCAATCTACTTTGTCTTTCATATTTATTTATTTTTTTTAAGATAGTCCTTCTAATAATAATAACTTTAGTCAATAAACTTGATTAGCAAAGATATTTTGGGAAAGACAACACCTATTTATAACAAATAACTAATTTAACTTATTTCTTTAATCTATTCAAATTAATTAACTAGCTCTTATATTTAGAACCGGAGATAGTAGCAACCAAGTAGCTCATTGCATAGATATGCTAAAAAGCGAGTCCATACAACCCACAGGGGGTTGAACAGAATAATGGTGTTATCGTTGAGACAGGGGTCTTTGATGAGCAAGCCAATTCGCGTATCTATTTGCTTTTCCAGAGAAATGATTGAAGGTAATAATCCAATCACATATGTTAAAATTCTGAATCTCTGTGATTGAAATTGAATGAATAAGCAAGGTGATTCTGGGAGTGTTTATTGTTGATGAGCTTCAAAGCTTTAGCAGAATCGCTCAAAACTGAAATTCTTGGAGCGCAAATGTTCTTCAAAGATTGGATCTTGATATCATCTAGATTCCTTTGGTGCTTGAGAAGACTATCGATTAGTCAAAGGAAGCATCATTTAGTAGAGCTAGCTGCATGTAACTTCCCAGATGGAATTGCAAACAAGAGCAAAAAGCCTTTGCTAAGTGATTTTCTCTGTACTCTAGTTTCCACCCACATTTTTTTTTTGAGTCCCATAGGATTCAATCCTCCGTAGGCAAAGAAAAGAAAGTACTACTTCCGATTCTTAATATAAGATCTCATTTGAATTTTATTTTGGTTCTAATTATAAAACCCCAATCTATTTTGTCTCTCATATTTATGTTTTTTTTTCAAAATAGTCTATCTAATAATGATAGTTCTAGCTAATAAACTTGATTAGTAAGGATATTTTAGGAAAGACAACACCTATTTATTACAAATAAGTAACTTAACTTATTTCCTTAATCTCTTCAAATTAGTCAACTATCTCTTATAATTAGGAGCGGAGGTAGTATTAAGTTTAGAGATTTTGACCAATTTACTCCAAACCTCTTTAATTTCAACGCGGTCATAAATCATGTAAAGGGGAGAATAAGGAAAGTTACAGTCAAAAGGATTAGTTTTTCGGCCTAAACTAAACCCCACAATTCTAGAGACATTGTCAACGAAGAACAAAGAAAGGCTTGGCAAGTCTTTCATTTTCCACCTTTTTTAACGTACAGTTCTTGGTTCGATATTATCTTTTACTATTAACATTTTTACAGTAACCCACAAAAATCTTCTCTGATTTTTAATCTTAATAGAAATAAAATTAAGAATTTTACTCTTAAACAACTAAATTAATGACTTTGAAGTAAGTTTTTAAGCGTCATGAAAAATAAAGCCATAGTACTTATTGTCATATCAGTAATATATCATTTCTAGAGTTTTTTTTTTCCCAATCAAAGGTTAAAGTAGACATAGTTCTCATATGTCAATAATAGACTGGCTCATCATCATCTCAAAATTAAAGAAATTTTATTGATAATTAAAATCCACTCTTTTACAAATTCAAAGTTCCCATAAAAAGCTAAATACGATATTATTGCTGGGTCCTGTGGGTCTCAAGTTCTCAGCTAATATAGTGAGTGCATCATTGTGTCAAAATCATGATTTTCGATTTGATATTTCACCGCACAAAGCTATGAAATTGATCAACTTCTTTGGTCAATAATAAGGGATGAACAAATTGCTTAAGAATACCAATGATTGATCCAATTATTATAATTAAACCCATTTGATTATATATATATATATATATATATATATATATATATATGGAGGGATATGGCCAGAATGTGAATAAAGGGTCAACTAATAATGAGGTTGGGGCATGAAGTGGTTGAAGAGTATCGTAAACATTTAAACATTCACATGCATTGTCTCTTTTCTCACAAATTTTATTTAATAAATCAGATCCACTTCCCTTCATTTCTTCCTACTCCACATGCATCCGCCATCATCACCCAACGTTGTCTTTCATGCAATTAATTAAATTAAATTAAATACCATGAGAGACTTTACAAGTTGAAATATCTCAGCCATATTCCAATCTCCTCAGATAAATTCTAGAAAAAAATTAAGAATTTATAGCTTCAATTTTAACCAAAAGATAGAATCCCACATTGCGTAAAAGTTGTTTGAGATGATTTCAAGGATAACTGATTTTTTTACTTAAAAGTTATTTTAAAGATAAAGAAATTTTTTTAGCTTATGGGGTTGAGCTTTTAGTTTTTCCTCATATTTTAACCTTCTAAACTAATTTTTGTTATTATTTTTTAAGAAAAAAGTATATTAAATATAAATCAAGTTATATTAATTAATTTTTATCTCAATTTTGATCAGTAAAAGTTAATTAGAATGAAAATCATTTTGCCAACGTTTATTGCAAACAAGTCAAAAAGATTAATGACTAATCAACCATATGCTCCTCCAGTTCTAAACATAAAACCTTTATACATATTAGGATAAATACTCCTCCGGTCCTAATTATAAGACCCAATTGACTTATTTGAGAAAATTAAGGAAGTAAGTTAAGTTGGTTATTTATAATAAATAAGTGTTGTCATTCTTAAAATATCCTTGCTAATTAAGTATATTGGCTAAAACTATCATTATTAGAAGGATTATCTTGGAAAAAAAATGCATAAATATAAGAGACAAAATGGATTGGGTCTTATAATTAGGACCAAATAAAAAGTCAAATTGGGTCTTATAATAAGGACCGAAGGAGTATCTTATATTTAGGACCAGAGAAATAACTTGTTATAAATATATTGAACTCACATGTAGAGTGTAGACTCTTAGTACCCAAGTTATAAAAATAAGGGGTGATTCCCCAAAAAAAAAAAAGTAACAAGAGGCTTTTATATTTTTAAAAATATTTTTTATTTTAATAATTTGCAACTAAATAGACCAAAAAGTCATGCACGCTCTCATTAACAATAAAATGAGAGCAACAAGTTTAGATGAAGACAAGGAAAAAAAACTTAGAATTTGGGTTGGCAATTGGCATACGGTCCCTGGAGTGATTATAGTACTTCAAATGTGTGGCCCCCACGTCTTCGGTCCTGTATCTTATATTAAGGACAATGCTCTGGGGACACATGTTTATTTATTTACATCAAAAAATGCCCCTTTCTTTAATTAAATAATAATAATAATAATTCGGTGGACTTTAATTCAGTGAATGAATAATGAATCCAAAGTCTTGAATTGTTTGCTTGGAATATAGTAGTGACAAAAAAATTATATGGTAGTAGGTGGACTTAAGGTAATTTAAAACCACCTTGTTACGCACAAATGTTCTATAGTATTGTGTTATATTGTACTAGCATTTTGATAGTCTTATCTCTCATAATATATATTTTTAAATATCCACCTTAGAACTGGTTATAAGATTCGCAGGATCACCAAGATTTCAGTCTTGTCGAGTGTCTGTATTTTCCATTATTACTACAACATGATTAAGCTATGGTTTATTCCCTGAAATTACATGATTATAAAGGGAAGATATATATATGATGATTAAGTAGCTAAAGTTATCAATCAAGATTAATATTATACAGACTCATTCTTAGATGATTCTGGTGTCAGGCACGTGGACATATTAATTGACAGGATTTGGGCAGATAGACAGAAAAAAATCAAGTGGAGAAAGAAACAGAGTCAGAAAACGCTTTTCTTTATTTGATGTCCATTGTCCTCAACTGAACTTTCAAACTTGAAACTCGAAAGCATTAAATTATTATTAAGGCTTAATTTCACTGACAAAATTTTTTGAAAATGGGAAAAGTTTTAAGCTTTAAAATGCATGCAACCAGCCACACAGCGTGGGAATAAAACAAGAGGAAAATGTCAAAGATATTCTGAGGAAAATAAAAAGGTTTTGAATTTTGGAAAGAGACAAAAAGAAGACAAGCAGCTCTAATGTGCACTGTGCAAGATACAGGTTGGATTTCCAAGTTAACATTTTCACATTTAATTATTGGGTGTCTTACTCTCCAAATTACCCTTTTGTCCTCTTCCTCTTCCCGTTTTTGAACCTCATTAATACCAGCCGCTACTCTCTCTCCCTCAGCTTTAATTCAAAATCATTCAAACTCCACTCTCTCTCCCTCTCTAGTCTCCTGTTTCTGTTCTCTTCCTAGCCTTTGTGAGCTTCTGGGCATTCCATCCCATTTCTTCTTCTTCTTTCTTCTTCTTCTTCTTCTCGTTTGAAATCAAAAGCTATCCCACCATTGTTCTGTGTATGCAGATACAGTCATAAAGGTGAGAACCTTAGACTATACCCTGCTTGTTCTTGGGGCCTGTTAGTATTGAAGTTGCTTTTAGATCTCGAGCTTATGGCTTTGCCTTACATTTGATCATTCTGTTGTTTGCTGTTTCTCTTGTGCAAGTCTTTTATGTTTGAATCTCCTTGTAAGGTGTAAAAGTTTCATGGCTATTGCATTTTCCTTTTGTTGCCCCATACTTTTTTCTAGCCAGCCAAACACACTCATGAACACGCAGTTGATGAATCAACATCATCTCAAGATCCACTTGATCCCCAGAAAATGAGATTGTTTCATTTCTTGCCTGCACTGTTGACCACTGTCTTTGCGAATCCCTTTTATTATTTGTCTATCTTTTCTCTCTCTCCCCCTCTCCCCTTCCCCACACACATTTTAAAGTCCAAACCTTTCAAATGTAACTCTTTTTTTTTTTTCAACTCTTGCGATAGTGTTTTACTTTCCTGAAAAGTTGATAATTATTAAGAAATTTAACTAGAGTAATTACACTTCATGAGATTAACTTTGAAAAGAATCATTATTCTTCTTGTTAATGTTGTGTTTAACTTTACACAGTTTTTACGTTCTGTGGTTATTTTCTGTGATTTTGTCCATATATTTGAGACTTTGATAGGACGCAACCTTTCTGAGCAAATTGATAAGTTTGATACTATCGTACTGATATAATAAGATATGGATGCTTGTATTTTATTTTAGTCCATTATTATTTTAGCAAAGCACATGCTAGTGCGCTGTTATTTATTGGATTGATATACCTTTTTCGTCTTCAAGGACAACATGTATGCATGCGTATCTGCTTTTACTTTATCTTTCCCAGCTTTGCAGTTCGCACACATTCAATGCTTCTGAAAATGTGATTAATCAAATATTTATTTCTGTTTCTAACTAAAACCCTAACTTAATTCTGATTCTGATTCGAACTCATTACACACTTAGATTATATATTATGCTCAGAGTATATTCTGCTTAAAAATCCGAATGTAGAAAGAGTTTGGCAGCAGATGAGGAATCAGTATCCTCAGTCTCAAGACATACAAGAATAAATTTCTTTCCCCCTAAGTTCAGAGGAAATATCGCCTTTTCTCTTGCTCTCCCCCCCCCCCCCGGGGGGGATGATTTGTGCTATCAACTTCACTACACCTTTCACAGAATTGTATGCTATTGTTTCTATAACGCAGTTGGAGAGATTTTTTTTTTTTAAAAGAAATGTGTAAAAGGGATTAGAGTATTTATGTGAGGGAATGATACATTACCATACCACCTGTGGGATGTCATTTCAAGAAATATATATATATATATATTGATATTTGAAATCTTACAATAATTGTGTTACCTATAATATTCCACTTATCCTTCATCACTAAGTTACATAGACCCAGTAACTTCTCTAGCTGCTGATTCTCCTAAGGTTGTTCAAGTTACAATCATTCATGTTTCTTCCCATGTTTTGGTAACAGAAGTAACATTTTTACTGCATCTAGGTGCATTAATGATTGTTTTTGGCTCCCGAGTCCTTACCCACTTGAACCAACTACTTCGACTCATCACCTAGAAAACATGGTAAAAAAGTTACCAAACCAGGCAGTAAAAAGGGGGGAAGAATTGTTACAACTTTGCTAGCAGAATCAGATTGGACTTTATGAATCTGGTTCATTCCCGCTTCACAGTGTACAGAATTACTACTTGAAGTAGTCTTTACTTTCCATTGATGGGACCATTCTTCATACATTTACTACTGTTAATGGACCAGTCACTTTCAAAAGTAAAAGAGAGGCAAAATGCACAGCTCTTAAATATTTATGCTGAGTAAAAAGTAAATGAGTAAAGTGAACTCTCTGGGCACTGTATTCTCTCTGCTCCTGGCTTTATATTAAAGGCGCACTTTTGGCTTGCCATTGTTGGGACACAGGACCTGTGTGATGTGGGGTTGCTTTACTTTTGTTTATCTTCTATCCGTGATATTTATTATTTTCAAATTCACATGTCTTTCCTAGTTCAAGATAAGTTTTTGGTATCTTGGGTTTGAATCAATTCACTTTTAGTTTAATAGTCACTTCTTTAGTGAGGTAGCTCCTTCGTGATATTGAAAGTTTCATGATATTGAAAGTTTGATGATATATATATGTTTTTAAATCAAAAGGTCATTGCCAAATAGTGTTTTCTCTTTTTAATATCTCTTGAAACTTCTGAGATCTGAAAAGGCAGATTCTGTTCAAGAGAGTTATAATTGTATATTTGCTTGTTTATCTTCTCCATTCGAACTTCACATTTGTTTCTTTCATCCTTTAGCAGGTAAGAAAGCTTTTATAGAACAAATCCTTGGAAGTTTCTGTCCCGTGATATCCATACCGATCATATCAAATGCCAAGATCAAGGTATGATGATTAAATAATCTTGTGCTTAAGTATCATGAAGCTCTACTTCGACTTATGTTCTCAAAATTTGTTGCTTTTCTGTTCCGATTTCTCTGTCCTTAAACTCCAAAGGTTGGCTCTACCGAATATAAAAAACTCTAAAATGCCTTCTGCGATGCTTTCTCAGTTAAATTAACATGTTAAGTCAAGAAACTTATAAATATGAATTACCGCATAGTTTTGAGCTTGATCGAACTAGTGGATGAAGCTTCATTGATATTATTATTTTATAGGGGATCAGATGTGCCACAGAGGCAATCTCCTAGAGGGTCACATCAGCTTCGGACATCAAGTGCTGACTCAGATCCACATCAGCATCACCGGCCAATCACAGATCGAAGCCCAAAGCTAGTAGGAGACCGACGATCTCCAAGAACTACACCTCAATCGGACACAGTCAATCAGAAGAAGCTAGGCACTCGCATTGCTGACTTGGAATCCCAACTTGGTCAAGCACAACAGGAATTGAAGAGTCTAAAGGACCAGCTTGCTTCAGCTGAAGCCGCTAAGAAAGAAGCTCAACAAGAACTAGAGAAGAAGGTAGAGAAGCCTCCCTCTTCTAAGAATGTCCTGGAATCTGACAAAACTGAAATCACAGTACCCCAATATGATGATAACAACCAAGAGACCGATGTTTTTGAAGTCCCAGTAGATAAAGAAGCTAAATCAGTTGAAAAGTCTGCTCCTTTAGCAATTTCGGAGCCGGAGAAGCCTTCCATGGAGGATCTGACACAGAAGAAAGATGAGGTGATAACAGAATTGAAGTCCAAGATGGAAGAGAAAGAGAAGGAGACAGACTCACTGAGTAAAGAAAATGAGGATCTGAAGAATCAATTGAAAGAAGCAACATCCAAAGTATCAGCTGCAGAAACCATGGAAGAAGGAATGATCCTGAGAATGAAGCAACTGGGGGAAGAATTGGAAGCAAGTAAAGCGAATGGAGATAAGTTGAGTGAGAAATTGAAGTGCGTGGAAGCAGAAAAAGAGGCATTAGAGGCTGAGATGAAGAAGCTGAGGGTTCAGACAGAGCAATGGAGAAAAGCAGCAGATGCTGCAGCTGCTGTTCTTGCGGGGGGCGTCGACATGAATCCTCGGATTTCTGAAAGGTGTGGTTCTATGGATAAACATTTTGGAGGCATATTTGAGACCCCTGGTGGTTACAATAACAATGGTCGATTTATTGGGTCGCCTGGTATTGTTGAGGATTTGGATGATGGGTTTGGAAGTAGCAAGAAGAAGGGCTCAGGGATCAGAATGTTTGGTGACTTGTGGAAGAAGAAAGGCCAAAAGTGATCTTCCTTTCACTATATTTCATTGGGATTTTGATCCTCCAACTTTCTTGAAAAGTTGTCAGTGTCAATTTTAAAAGAGGTAGAGTGCATGCTTGATTATGCGTTGAAAACACTAAAATCATATGATTTGGGGGGGTTTCCAACGTGAAACCAAACACGCACAGACATTCTATATTTTATCTCTGAAATTGACACTGTCAATTGTTTTAAGAAATTGGAAGGTTCGGGATTTGCTGAACTGATAAGAAAGAGTGATTAACAGTTTGCAAACTGTTCTGCATCTTTCTGTGGTATTTTGTGTAGCTAATATTTAGAATTTAGAATCATCGTGGATGTAGTCAGAATTGCATGACCTGTGCAAGCTAGCTAGTGAGAGATGGAACTCCTGCAGAAATGATATTGCAATATGGTGTTTTCCCTTCTATTGCTGATGAAGGGACGTATTGTTATGGGGCCTTCATGTAAGAATGATATGGTGTTTTTCTCTGGTATATGTATTGGTGAATGGCGAGACAAGTGCTGGTTACTGGTGTTGAAAATAGACAAGTCAGATCAGACATGTGAATATTCATTTCTTCTAATAAAATTAAATCAAAGGGTATTATGCTATTGTTTCGCTAAAAGAACAAGGTAGCAAATGAAAGAGAAGTTTGCTGCCGGAGGGGGGGGGGGAGATGAAAGAGAAGTTCTTTTTATATGTTTTCGTATTGTCTGTTTTAAAAGAAGCTCCTTTGATTAAATACTATGCAATAAAGGAGGACAGATGGTTTCAAACAAAATTTAACCAAAATAATAAAATTAGTTAGTTAGAATAATAAAATTGCCCTAAAATTAAACTGTTTTTCATTTTTACTCATAAATTAAACAAGACTCGATGCATGGGATAAGTTTTGTAGAGAACTGAAATGTCGCTTTCCATTACAGATTCTGGAAGCAATTAATAAAAATGCTACCATTACAGGAAACTACAGCATCTTTGCAAAGATCCAAGAATTGAGGAGGAAAGAGTGGAACGTGATATTCACTCATGTCTATCGAGAATGTAACCGCTGTGCAGATAGATTGGCTCACCTAGGGCTGGAACAACATAGCAGAATCGTTTACTGGCAGTCTCCTCCCAGCGAGCTTCATCCTCTGTTGCACGAAGACCTGGAGGGTGTAGGAATTATGCGTAGTATAAGTAGTTAATTTATGTGTATTCTCTTTATTCACCCAAAAAAAAAAAAGAAATGTCGCTTTCCACAGATTATTTACTTGCTTTAGTGAGCTTTTCATATTCTCCTTGGAATCTGCAGAAAGCTATTTTTGGAATTGCGCATCAAAGATTGCATAAAACAAAAGAGAATGACTAAAGTGGCTCTCTATCAATGTGACTAGTGCAGCTTCGGATTTGAGAAAAATATAATGTGAATGGAACAAAGTTAAGGACAGTCGTAAACATGTTGATCACCACTAATCAAATGGAAACTCATTCTTGAGGTGGGGTTGAATTAGGCCAGGTCAGTCAAATTAGGATTGAAGAGTGTTTTCCTTCCCCCCTCAGACACAAACACTACAAGTCATGGGCTATAGGGCCTGTAAGTCTAAAATCTAAATGGGGTTAATGGTTCACCAATTTTGACAAAAAAAACCAGTATAGCCCAGGTCCTCAAAACTTGGATTCAGACTACACCTGTTGGACTGCTTATTTGGAACAGTTCAAAGAAAGTTTTTTTTTTGGTTGCCCTTTTAAGTTACATAAGCAAACACTAGTGACCTGATAGCCACAAGTAGGATCGAGCTTATAACCTTTCACTTACAGAAAAGTTTTTATGTTACTAGGTTACAAAGTTATTGACAGGAGAAAGTTATGTGGTGTAGCAAGTATTGTGAATGCAAAGAAGAAATTTTTGCATGGGAGCAGCCAATGAACTTGAAAGATAGCATGATGATGATGTTCTTGGGAACATAAACATACTTTATAGAATGAAATATAATTAGCCTTTTGTGGTCAGCTCAAAAAAAAAATTAGCCTTTTGTAGATTAATAGAATACTGAGGTCAGAAGCAACCTTACTAAGATTTGCTTCTTATCCTTAGCAACAGAAGTGGAGAGAAGAGTCTCTATCAACCAAAACAGAAGCAGCATTAACATAACATGTGCTCCATCTACATTATACATATGTGCAACCCCTTCCTGTTCTGTTCTGTTCGGTCAAAACCTATGTCCCTGATGTGATCCTTCTTTGGATATTCAATTCCATTTTCTTCTGCCCTTTGAATTCAACCACATCTTCCCTCTTTGGCGATTCTTCTTCCTATTTTGTTAGCTGTTATTATCCAAAAATTAGTAGGTCCCTCTGCACTGAAATTCATAAATAAGTCATAATTTTCTGAGTTTTTATATCATTAATTGATGAAAGCAGCCCAATGGTTATGAAATCTGATCTAAGTTGCATATTTACTACTGATGATTAATTATCAATACTAATATATATATATATATATATATTGTTCCTCCAACATTTAGGGGATATTTGGATAAAAACCAAACCATGATTTTAAAAGTGTTTTTACAGTATACGAGGCAAATATGTGGAGAAGTTTGTCTCGTTTTGCGGAAAAGTGCTTTTGAGAAGCACTTTTGGGTGCTTCCAAACACCCACTTAGTATCTTACACAAAACTGACCCTTTTTAGGTTCATATCAGATAGATATCTTCTTCGCATATTATTAATACTGATATAAATATATATTGTTCCTCCAATATTAAGTATCTTACGCAAAACTGACACTTTTTAGGTTCATATTAGATAGATATCTTCTTCGCATAATACATATAATAGATAATAATTTTAAGTTTTTATTTTGAAATATTATAATAACATATAACTTTTGCTAAAATGTATATAAAACTATTGAGAAATTTTTTTGCATGAAGTTGATAAAATAAGTAAAAAAACATTAAAAAAGAATCTAAAATGATATGTACTATTCATCACTTATAATAATACATCTTCATATGACCAAAATAAATTATTTTAGTTATTAAAAAGAATTTTTTTGGGAAAAAATATAGCATAGAGTATTGAAACCTGAGTAAACCAAAAGCAAAACTAATTTTTAAATCCCCAAATATTAGGACTTGTTTGTTTTTATTTTTTTTTTCTTGTTCTCAAAATAATTTTATAAATTTTTTTTTAGAACAAATTTTGAAAACAAAAAATAAAATAATTTATTTGGATAATAATTTTAAAAAAATGTTTAAAAAATATAAAAAATCACATTTGGTGGGTAATAGTTGTCGCTTGTAATAATAAGTGATGGATAGTAGATAAGAAAAAAAAGATTTCTTAAAAATTTTCACAACAAAAAATAGAAAACACAAAAACAAAAACAAAAAACATATAAATTTTTTTTTGGTTTTTAAAAATATGTTACTGTTTTTTGTTTTTTAAAACAATTAACTAAAAACAATTTTTTTTTGTTTTTAAAAATAAAAAATTGTTTTCAAAACAAGAAACCAAACAAGCTTTTAGTTTTTCTCTTTTGTGTCCCAGTTCCAGTGCTAAGCTGGCATGTAAAGGATATGTGCCACATAGTTACCACGAAAACAAAGAAATAAATAAACCCCACCTCCTCAAAATTTCCTTCCTAAAAACTTTATCTTATCGTATCTCACTTTTATCTTAAAAAGCAACACAATCTGTAGGATACATATTTGATTTATGGGGAATGAATCTGCATGAAAAGGTTCCCCCCGCCCCCCGGCCCCAAAAAAAAAAGATACCTACAAATCTCAATACGAATTATTTGCATCCAAAAAGGTAAATGTATATTTCTAGAAAAAAATTTAGAGAAATAAGATGAAAATAAAGATTTTTTTATTTATTGAAGACGTAGCTCGAAGAAGTGTTTGACATCAAACATTGACACCCTTTTCGAATCTTAGTTTACCATAATATTATGAGTTATTAATTCCATATGACAAAAAATAAATATATACTACTCCTCCGGTCCTAATTATAAGACCCAATTGACTTATTTGAGGAGATTAAGGAAGTAAGTTAAGTTGGTTATTTATAATAAATAAGTGTTGTTATTCCTAAAATATCCTTGCTAATTAAGTATATGGGCTAAAACTATCATTATTAGAAGGATTATCTTGAAAAAAAATACATAAATATAAAAGAGAAAATGGATTGGGTCTTATAATTAGGACCAAATAAAAAGTCAAATTGGGTCTTATAATAAGGACCGGAGGAGTACCTTCGTTCTTAATTATAAGAGCTAGTTAACTAATTTGGGGAGATTAAGAAAAGAAATTAAGTTAGTTATTTGTAGTAAATGGGTGTTATCTTTCCTAAAATATCTCTACTAATCAAGTGTATTGGCTATAACTATCATTGTTAGAAGGATTACTTTGAAAAAAAATGTATAAATATGAAAGATAAAATGGATTGAGGTACTATATTTAGGACCAAAATAAAAGCCAAACAAGATTTTATATTAAGGACCGGAGGTAATACATATGAATTTTATACAATCATAAAATTTTGTATATTTTGTTTCTCCGGACATTTTAACATAAATAATTTTATAAAAAAAAGTAGATTATAAAACATACATCTTTGAATGAAAAAAGTAATAAACATTACACAATTTTATTTTTATAAATGATAAAAAAATTTCTTGAATTATTTTGGTTATATTACCTCCGATTCTTAATATAAGACCTTATTTGAATTTTATTTTAGTTCTAAATGTAAGAGTCTAATCCACTCTATCTCTCATATTTATGTATTTTTCTCAAATAATCCTTCTAATAATGGTAGTTTTAGCCAATACACTTAATTAGTAAGGATATTTTAGAAAATACAACACTTATTTGTTATAAATAACTAACTTAATTTTTTTCTTTAATATTCTCAAATTAGTCAATTAGCTCTTATAACTAGGACTAGAGGTAGTTCTATCTACTAAACCAAACTATGAATTTCTATACTTATTCCATCTCATGCTTATCACTTGATCTAGTATAACATATTTTCGGACACATCACAATAAAGATGCGCACTTTCTACTACTTTCCTTCCGTTCTTCCTACACCAGAATGGT